TCCTCATCTAACGATAATTTTGATGGAAATTAAATGACGACTTTAGATTCGAAATTTTATAGAAAATTGAACCTTGATTTCTCCATTTCTTGGAAATAATCGTAATTTATTTTTTAAAATATATAAAATGAATTTCTGTGATATTTCAATCTTTTCTGATCCAGCGTAGATCAATAGGGTTGTCTGAAAATCAGGGATCATTCGGGGTTACCGTTCTACAATTAAAGTAGGTAGTCGAAACGACCGATTAATTACTACGAAACGAGGGCTGATCACGGTTAATTTCACTCTAACGAAACCTTTCAATGTCGTCGCATCCCATAGGATCCAGCAATTCCCGTTAAGTCCGCGAAACTCTTTCGTTCCTCTTTTTCTATTTTTCGTCGTCTTTCATTTCGTCCCTTTTCCCTTTCCCTTGTCTCGAAGGGAATCCTTTCTCTTGATGCTCATTGTCCTCTGGCAAAAGAGAGAAAGAAATTTCGCCGGGACGGAATCAGTCGCGGCAGAAATTTCCCCAGGTTCTCTTTCTTGATTTTTCTTGATATTTCTTTTACTCCCCCTGTTGCAACATCCTACTAGCGTGATTTGTTTCAAGTCTCGTTTCGAGGGCAACGAATTTCTTGAAATTCAAAATAGAAAGAAAAATGAAAAAATAATTAAATTAAGGAAACGAATTATGAATTATTAAATATAAGTTTGTTATATGCAATATAACACTATAATAAACACGTAAATGACAATATTATTATCATGGATTATATCTTGTGCTATAATAAAGGGTTGATTTTTTGTTTTTATTGTACAATCCCTTTGAGGAGTAAGTAGAACATAGTAGGTAGCTCGTAAAGAATGCTTCTTTTATTCAAGAAAAAAAGAATTATTTGTTGCATCACAAAGGGTTGCACAGTGCAGTGCACGTATAATGAAAAAACTATGTTTTTTGTTTTATTTTCAAGCCGAACAATATAGCTGGCACATTGTTGCTGGACGGTTTTGTTCCCACGCATACGTCACATTATTGAAATTCCTATTTCGAAATCTATTTTTCATCCGTATAGTTGTTTTTCCCCTATCTTTAGCGAAATAAATGTCGCGTGTAAACGCACCTACGGAGTTTGGCGGTCTCCCAACCTATAAATTAGTCAAAATGGGAAGGAGTTAATACGTGTTCGGTCCAAGTCTATGCGTTATCCTATAAACCGTGGAAAGTGCTTTTTCCGATCATTTGCTTTGATTTAAAACTCGTACACAGAGGAAAATCGACCGCGTGGAAACGTTTCGAAATTGGACTATGAAAATTTATGTTCCACCGTGAAAATTTCAATTTCCACATTGTTCGCGTGTTTGGTTAATTACATAAGAATTTTGGGATAATATATTTTACATAAATTATTGCAAAATTCGTGCCGTTAATTAAAAACCTCCCACCTAAAGTTGAAGAAACCTTAATTTAGAATTTCAAAGAATTTCACGATCCTCGTTTATTCTCGCGCGTGCAATCCTCGGGGGATTCGAAGCGTGCAGAAATTCCGCGGGTATTTCGCAAGCGGGTGCGCTCGCGTATTCGCGAGGAATCAATGGCGGATACGGCTTGTCTATCTTTAGCGTGTGGCGCTTTGGCGGATAGTGGCGTTGGTTCGCGTGGAGAACGACGACGAAAATAATTGTAAACAACCGGAGGCACTCCTTAACGTGGTGACGCAATCGACGTAGAGCGTTTGTTTGGCCAAGTTGTAGCGGAGGAATTATAAAAGGGGCAGATGAGAGAAGCGTAATGGGAAAAAGCGAGAGGGTATTACTCCTCTTCGCCCCTCGCTAATATCTGCCTCTCTTCGTTTCTCTGCCTCGATCCGATTTGTTCGCCCTCTTCTCCTACCCAAGGGAGGGAAAGTGTGTCAGCGACCGAAAATAATCCCCGCTGGTGGTTCGTTAAAAATATTTTCAAGCGGTTCTCGCTCGAACGAGCTGCCAAGGCGTCGTCGCGCGACGCACGCCTCCGTAGGAAAACACCCTTATGTCAGTGTTGATGGCAGTGCAATAAAAAGACATTTTTTTAGAACCGAAAAAAGATTGCGAGTAGAGGAAGGTAGGGGATGACGGGGAAGTTGAGTAAAAATGCAAAGAAAAATTTATAATTATACCTTTTATTCAAGTTTTATTATAAGTTAATACTTTGATTCATGTCTTGAACAATATATACATATAGAAATTGGAAGTTATTAAATTTTAAAAAAAAGTAATGAAAAATCGATGCTACCCTATTATGCCCCTCACCTCTCCTATTGTATAATATTTGTATTTTATTAATTTTGCAAGGTGACAAAATTGAGGCTCTCCCTGTCTCTCCTCGACTTTGTTTTTATGAATCTTACAAAATTAGATACAGTAAAAATTTGCTAAGACAAAAGATTGACACATCGCTGGTAGTTGACTCGAATCGAATGGTTGATTTTTGTCCCTTGGCCAACGCTCTCTTTAATCGGTTCCCGTTTCATAGAAGGAAACTGGCGTTCTGTCGTTGGAACGAGGCAAAAAGGAGCCTCGGTTCGCGAAGCAAAACGCCTTTTACCGAGTTGCGGATGGTCGTTGCAAAAAAGCCGTGGCGTGGAAAGCCGCAGCGTACAGCCATTCCGTAATGGCGTTATCGCGGTCGTGTAAATCAGCAATTTATAAGTATGAGAGCGGTGGACGTCTAAAAAGCGCGCCGATATTTCGAGGAATCCAACGCTCCGTTCGTTCTCTACAGATCGTTGAACTTCTACCGTATCTGATGGACTTATGTGGTTGCAATTGATGGTGTTTTCGTGGGATCGTAAAAATAACCGATGTACCATTCGAAAGGAACGCGTCGCCGTTATCTGATATCGAAACAATACGAAGACGATTTTTTGAAAAAAGGTCTAAAAATCAATCGATCGATGAGAAAATTAATTTCATTTTTATTTTAATGTTGATTACCAAAGGTAATTGTGAATTTGCATTTTAAAACAGCAAGCATGCAATAGGAAAGGAGACTTTGATAAAGGTTCTTCCCCCGCGAGTTACGATTCATAAAATTCCTTCTATCGCGCCCTTTCTTTTTTTTTTTTCGTCGAACGATCGAGGAAGGTTGCTACAGGTCAAGGAGGCAGGCGATAAAGGGTCGACAGATTTTTCAGACCGCAGACAAAGCTCGCTCTCTCCTCTCTCGGAGCAATGTTTTCTTCCCCCCTTCTCTCGGTTTACCCGGGCTACCCTTCTTTCCGCTACGGCCCGAGAAAATAAGGTCTCATGGTGATACTTTATGGATATTGCCGGGTGGATATTTTCGGAAAAGACCGTAAGATAATTCGACGATAAATTGATCATCCGGTAGGAAAGTTTTCTGTAGTCGAGAGGGATGACGGGATTTTTCAGGTGAAAATGATAGGGGAAGTTCGGTTAATTCTTTTCAGCTGACTGAGGACTTTAGTTTGAACCCGTTTATGCGGAAGAAGTTCCCTTTAGACACGGTAAAGTAGTATTTTCAATATTTTGTTTAAGTTTCCTGAGTAATAATCTCGTGAACCGTACTATAAGGGTATTCCTCGCTTCAACGAATAATTAGCCATTTTGTATTAAGAATATCGATGAAGCATTTATACAGGCATTTTCAGTGAACCTTAAGCTTTAAATTGATGTATTACAACTGCCATTTCATGATACTTTTATGTCATCAAATTTGAATAATACAGTAGGGTAATTTCTGTCTGACCAATTATTGATACGAATCACTGATTTATTTATTATATCACTATAAACCTATGAACCCTTTAATGTACCGCCATTAACATATTCTATATCACTTTTTCAACTAAAATAACTTAAATTTATTATAAATAAACGGTCCTTGACATCGAAGAAAAAAATTACCATTCCACTTGCAATTCTCTACAAAAAATTCATCAGACAATCGCAATATTTTCTATCACGATCAATATCCCAGAAAACCTTTCTCCATCTAACTTTCCCAAATTTCTCTACTCCGAAACCGGTTCATTTTCACGGGAAATGGAGTCTGGGCGTCGTTTCGAGTAACGATAGCTCGCTTCCCACGTGCGCGTTAATTAAACGGCCAGATTAAGCGTGTCCAGTACAAGACGGTCGAACGAAATCAAAGGGAATTACCAAACGCATGAAACGTTGTTCGACTGTAATTTTTCCGTAATTATGTCGAAATTTGGGGGGGAGGTGGTAGGTGTTTCGTTGCGAGGATTACGAGAATCGACGCGTTCGAAGGCAACAACGAGGAACGCGTGTGCATATTCGACGAACGCGTTTCATGAAATGGTAAAATACGAAAATTGGTTGGCATTTCGAACAGGGATTATTGGACAGCCAACAGAGAGAGAGAGAGATGGTACACGTGTGCAGGAAAAGCCTACGGCACGTGTGTACCGTCAGAGAGTTTGAAACGGTGTGCGGTGTATCGATTCGACAACGGAATTTGCGAACCAGTCTCGAATTGTTGCCGTGCTTATATTTATGAGCCACAGCTGTCCAATCGCATCTACAATTTACTACTCGCATCCCGCGCACCTGCGATTTTTAAATTATCTAACGAGCCACCGTATGACGCGAGATATTCGACGGCTTTAAACGAGCATCGTGCTTTATTCGCTTTTCGTCCCTCTCACTGAAATAAGAGACGATAAATTCATCTTATCGTCTACTCTATCGAATACCAATTACAATTGTAGGGATATGAGAGGGATGTAAAACTATGTTTAACACTAGAACTACCGACGTTTGATGCACACTTATTTATATAATTAGAATCAAACTTAAAATTCAACTATAATAAAAGTAGCAACCAAATTGAACACATTTGAACTGTAAATCACTTTATTAATCATTTTATAATGGGCGTTAAATGAAAACCTGAAATATAATTTATTAATAATTTCCTGTTTGGTATAGAAAGAAATGTAGAATTTCAAAATTTATAGTGCTAATTCGACTGTTCGTTTATTTATTTACAGATGAAATAGACGTGATCGGTGAGTCGAGCAACCAGTCGGACACAGATGATCACAGCAGCGTGCAAAGCAGCAGTGACAGTGGTGTCGCAATGTCCACATCCAGGCTGACCCTTTCCGAAATGATGGACAATCTTTAGGTACGTATCAGGTGTGTATCCCTTTCATGATTTTCTATTTAGCTTCTCGAACAGAAAAATATAAACCTTTGGGAATGAAGCGCTTCAGAGCTTCGGGTTAATCTAAGTAGTAGAAGAAAGAGTGTCTTATAATTTGAGAAGATTAAACATTTTGAGAAACGTGCTGGATTAAAATTTTTAAAAACAAGTGGGTGCTAGATGAATTATTAGAACTTGCTGTTATTCCTTCAGCCAGATTCCAACGAGATAATAATTTATAATTTCATTTGTGTCGTTTTAAGATAGAAGAGCGAACAATTGGTAGAATGAGGCTCAGTTTTCTTATTCTTCAACGAAATGGTAGCTGAATAAACGACATCTATATTTTCCTATTTTTCAATAAAATGAACAAAACATACACTTCATCTAGGTGAAACAGATGATGCCATTTGGTTCGACTCGTTGCCTGTCAACCGGTAATAATTCAAGCTTATCGTGGCTGGTGACTCAACCGTTTTGCACTTCAGAAAAGTTAAATATTAGATCGAAGATAGGGTAGAAAAAAAATTCGAATATTTTAACCTCGTTCCACTAATTTAAAATCAATTTTCAATGAAACTTAATCAGTTTAAAATTTCATGTCTGATCAATTTGGCTGAACTTTCAAATTTTTCACGTTTCCAAAGCTTTGGAAACTTTCAAGATTTCCATATTTTCAAAACTAACGAGAAACAGAGTTGAAAGGTTTAAATAAAAATAATATTATCGATTGATAAATGGTCCGTGATTCATCCACGTGAAACGTCACTTTGTTTCTCGAAGAATTTTTTAGAGAAGCAATCTTAGAAGCAACTTCTTAATAAAAGGAGAAACGCGAAACTTTATCCCGAATCAGCACTTCGTGGAACGTAACTCTGAAAAGTCGCTGAAAGTTTCTAAAACGAAGATCATACAACAGGGGTATCCGAGGAAGAGGAAGATATACGTTTGTTTTAATAGCAGAATGTAGCAAAAGAACGTTTAAAAAGAAGTACGAACAATGAGGAGCTCTTTTGATAGTGGGGCTGTGTTTTATAGGGTACGAGACTACGGGTCTTATTTTATTTTCTCCTTCCTGAAATCTACCTTCCTCCGCTGTAAATTCTGCAGAGATAAAGATTCAAGAAGAAGCTTCGGTACTGTTTCACTGAGAAGATTAAAAAGCAAGCTCCGTATTCTGCTTCATCTGCATTTTTTACAATGTTGAATAAGTTTACCATCTCACGTGTTCTGACTAAAAGTTTCAAAGGACAAAGTAACATTCTTTTTCTTCAGGATTGATATACGCACATTCTTTCTTCTACTCTTATTTAGAGTTTCAGATATTAAAATTCCAGAATTTCCATAGAATTTCATTATTAATATTACATGAAATTTCCTTACCTAATCAAAAAACGTGAAAAAATTAGAAAACCACAATATTCTCAGCAGCTCAATATTGTCGAAAACCCCCTAGAATGTAAATCCCCCGTTTTTCCACAAACGCCATAGGTTGTAGAAAGAAAGGAAAAAAAAAATAGATAGAGAAGCGAGAAAAAAAAGCCACAAATCCCCGACAAATAAATTTTCACGTCCGTGCCTTCGGGCTGTTTGCAGACAAAGAAGAGATGGCGCGGTGGCGGCGGAAGAAAGCGGAGGTGGATCGTTCGAGGGCGAAGAAACGTGGGGAAAAGGGTTTGGAAGAGGGAGGAAACACGTGGAGGGCGAAAAGTACGGGCGAAGAAGCGGAAGAACAGAAGAATATCGGCTAGCATGTACGCGGATACGCATCCCCTGTCGCGACGCTGAAGAATCTTAACAGGATGTGCAGCCGCGTACTCGATCAGCGAGATGAAGAAATCAAGTATAGAAGAAACCGGGCCAATGGCGCCAAGTAAATGGCAATTAACGAAACTGACCAATGCGAACGGAAGGATACGGAATTATCATCCTTGATCGAAGGATATCGTCCTCGAGGAAGAAACGTTAGAGAAGTTGAATTGGTCGCGTGTAAATTGAAAGTTGATCGAGAGCATTGTACATATTTTTAAGGAAGACTAAATTCTTGAGAGAAGAAGCAAAAAAGAAGAGAAAATACAGCGTGAAGAAGAAGAAGAAATGAATTTCGAGCGTTTCTTTCTCGACACATAAACGAAGAAAGCTGTCGATTGGAACTTCAGCCTGTCGATTTCAACGGATCGACCGACAAAGAACGAGTCGATCAAGGGATATCTCGATCGGTGATCGATCGATCGGACCTTAACTAATCTACACGGTTGGTCCGTTGTGTACAATTCGTGGAAACGATCGGTGCGAACCGATCGCAGTATCGCGAAGATCGTCTCTTTTATCTGATCTTTCTCGCCCGTTTCTTCGTGCCGAGTTTCATCGAGACGATTCCAGCTGACCCCGGGAGAAGATTCATCCGTTCTTGTCGACCTGTTCGACTAAATTTCACGCCGCCGTCGTTCTTGCGATCGTTTTTTGTCTTTTCATTTGTCTTGCTTGCTTTTGCTTTCGAAGAGGGTAAACACTATTGATGGGATCCAAGTAGGTTCGAATTTAACCGAACAGTTTCGAATAATTCATGAGTATTTGAAAAAAAAAAAAAAAAGAGAGATACCTGTGAGTGTATTAGAATCTAGAAGAGATAGATTTGAGTTTTTCACGAGTATTCGAGTTCACAGAATGAAACATCGCTGTAGTAGTCTAATTCCACGAAGTCAAACTTTGCTTTGGGACTCGACTAGGATTCCTGAGTGCTCTCCAATGCGAGATGAACTTCTCTTGGTTAAAACTTGGGAAAATTCTGGGGAGAACCTAGGGAAAATCTAGGGATAGCCAGGGAAAGACGGGAGATCCCAGGGAGAGTCTAAGAAAAGCCTCACCTAGAACCTCCCCTCTTGAAACATAAATAACATGAAGAAATAAGGCGAACAATGGGTCATTCCATCCCCTAATTTCTAACCAAGGGAAGGCTAAATTGCAGATATTAAACTTGATCCCATCTCTGGTCCACACAACGTATCTTTCTGTCTTCGTCGTTTTTCCATCCCCCGGCCAAAGAGATTCGATCGGAGCAAACCTCTCGTCGCCCGCGTTGAAGAAGGACCGACGGTACGCGAAGAGAAAACACTGGAGAAATGAAAGTAACATCGCGATGTTTTCGCTTTCCGAGGGAAATCGTGTTACGAGCGTGGTATCTTTGCAAAAGATGAGAAATCTTTATTTCGCGTGAACGAGATTGAAATGGTACATGGAAAGATGAAGAAGAAGAATCTTGCTGAATGAAATGGAACAGGCTGGATGAGAAGGCATCAGTCATTCCGGGAAGACCCTGTATATCGAATTAGCAAAATCAAGGGTGAAAAAGGGGGATGAAGAGGGAGCGAATGGGATTATTATCGTTCCAGAAGGGAGGAACAAAGGGAGTTAAATCGCGAAAACGAGCTTGCGAAGACGGATTTCTTCGGCAACCCTTACGTCTAATTAACAAAGACGAGTACACGCGCAAGGGAAAGGGGAAAAACTCGAAAGAACACCGACAAAAAAATAAACAATCACGCGCATGCATGCATACACACACATACATACACGTACACGAAGAAAAAAAAAATAATAAAAATGACCGAAAAAAAAAATGATGGATAAGAGATAAAACGAAGAAAAAAAAAAATAATAAATAACACATACACAGTACGAAACCCCGTCGTGTGTGTGTGTATGTTCACTTGCACACGATGGCACACGTAATTAGATTCTTTCTGTATTAATTAAGGGAGGGTTGGAGGGGGGAGGGGGGTTGCGCCGTGATATATACGGGACGAGTAATTCTTAAACGTACGCTCTATTGTAATTAAGTGAAACGTGTGTTTAACCTCGTTTCGTTGTAATACACGCATTCAAAGAGTACAAATTCTGTAAAGTCCCTCGTTGCTTGTTCGAGGATGTAACAGGACACCACCCACCACCTGTTGTTGTTGTTGTTGTCGTTCCTTTGAAAGAAACGACGAATCGGTTTTACTTTGAAACGGCCAGGCAGAAGGGAAGAAATGATACACGCAGAGACAGCTGTCAAGTGTTAAACAATGTTTCTGGTATGTGTGTGTGTGTCTGTGTGCGTGTGCATGTATGTGTGAGAGAGAGAGAGAGAGAGGAGGTGGGTATAGTGAACGCAGAAATATATCTTGATTGTTGAATCAATCAGTTTTGAAACAACATGCGTTTAATGATGACACAGTCGTCTCTATTTAACATTTGGAAATTATTTGTAGAATTTATTTTCTAAATTGTGTACAAAATTTTGTAAATATTGAAAATTGATATTGTACGGCCGTTCTATCCGTCGTGTTTGTCGAATGATCGTATTAACGATCCAAGGTATATTTCTGCGGTTACTAGAATTAGAAGAACGTCATGACAGAGAACGTTTCGAAAGAAAATAAGGTCGTACATGGGTCCAAAGAGTTCCTTGAAGGGAAGATCGATCGACGAAAGAGCCTGTTACACAAAACAAAGGTGAACACGAAAAGATCGACCGCCTGGTTAGAGTTTCCACTTTGCGGCTCGAGTGGAACTCTACCAGGAGAAATCTAGATGGTTAGGGTCCGGTGACTCGTCCCTCAGACCCTTTCGACTTCGTCCTTCGACGATGAAATCGTTTTAACCCTTTCGATCCAATACCGGTATATCCTGAGGTTCAAATTCCTTATCTCCTAAACTTGACTTATTTTACGACCACCCTATATTGCTTCTACCAACTATACACCCGTGTATAGTTGGTGGAAGCAATATACGGTGGTCGTAAATTAAAGTGTCCGTAAACTTTGATCACGAAACTTAAATAATTCAATATTCTGACTATAATTAGGAATCAAATGTAAATATTTTGAAAGTTATAACAAAATTTCTATCGAACGTGGAAGGTATGGGGTTGGAAGGGTTTACTTCGATCCAGAAATCATATTCACCATCGCAAATTAATGCTCCAGAATCACTTTAAAGTGTAACAGGTTAAAATCGAAGATCGGTCGATCGGGAAACCTTCTTGGATCGAAACAGCGTGGCAGGAATCGTTCGAGACACACGGAGTCGAGTTTTCCGGCTAGGTTTACGCAGACCAGATAGACTGATTACCAAACGTAACGAGTGATCTCTGAACAAAAAAAAAAAAAATAACAAACAAACAAATAAACAACGGTTTTAAACGGCGTTAGTTTGTAAGAAAATGATAACAAACGAAAAAAGAAAAAAAATACGGAGGTTAACCATTGGGGATATACAAGGATCTCGGAAGTACGTTAAGGGGGTTGGGCGAACACACTTTTTTCGGACAGTTTTCTCGCACAGTACCCTTCGATTGACCCTTGGAAAATGGATGCTGGGTTATTCAGATCCTACACATTTTATTCCTAACATTTTTCATTCATTAATTTTCCTCTAAATTAATCTTAATTTAAAAAATCTTCAAAATTAGAATTTCGAAAATTATTATCTTTCCATTGATCCATTATTTTAATAATATTATTAGAATATTTATATTTAAATTTTTCCATAAACTTGAAATAAATACTAGAACTAGGTATAATGATAAATGTTTTTCCTCTCATTCTGCTGTACTCGATGCTGTACAAAAAAAATATTATCATTGGGTCACGTTTGACCCAGGATCCGAGCCGAGGGTTAAACGAAACGAACGGGTGGTAGATGATTCTTCGACGAACAACGCAGAAATCGAACAGGGACGACGGAAACGATGTTCTCGTCGATTAAATTCGAGGAGGGGGTAAGAAGAACGCAATCTTTTAGAACGACAGCCAACGTGAAAAAGGAGGAGGCAGTTTCGAAGATTGATCTTTCTACAGAAAAAGAACAAAAAAAAAAGAAAAAGAGATGAATTCAACTCGAATCCCATCAGGAAAAGCGACCAAGCCGAATGAAATATTTTCAGCAAGGCAAGCCGCGAACTTTTTAACGTTAAACGTAAACAATTACTCCCGCAGTCGTTGTTGTATCAACAATCGACCATATTCTATAGTTGAAACGCAATCATATTGGTTGTTGCAGAAGATTAACCGCGGCCGAAACACATCAAATACAAAATACGGTGGGACTCGAGATAAGCATTGATCGAAAAGAGACGATCACGTTGAAATAACAGACGCATTGTCATTTCAGAAAAGTTCACGCGATCGTATCTCAGAAGAAACACTCGAAAATGCCTCCTTCAACCTTCCCTCTATCTTTTTTTTTGAATTTTATTTAAAAAAAATATAGGGTCGAGCAACGACGAAAACGGGCAAACTTTCATTTAATTTATTATGTATTTATTCGAGGGACGAGGAAATTTTGAAAATGAATTTTGTACATAAAAAAATGGCAGTTGGACTGTTCTCTTCTTTTAAAGAATATAATCATGGTTCAGTTTGAAATTTCTCTGATTTCGATTATGTGTAATCGTTCGAATAAATATTGTTGGCTGTCGTTCGCCAACGCTGACGACGAAGGATAGGATGAAAAGGTTGATTTTCAAAAGATGGGGAACGATTTTGGGATACAGATGAAGGGATGAATGGAAAGAAACGAGGGAACCACCAAAAACCACCACAAACCAAAAAAAAATACACATATATATATATATACACAAAAATGAACAAAAAAAGATGCATAGATTACACACAAAAAGTCTACAAAATTAAAAAAAAAAAAAAGAGGGAGAGACCTGTTTGAGTTAGGTCTAGGGAGGACTAACGAGCAAACAAAAGAATAAATGAAAAAAAAACACAAAAATAAAAACACACATAATTAACATTTTACAAGTAAGTGGTTTCATTAAGTGATTAATGATGAATGTCTCTTGAACGTGTAGATCGTTGATGAACGCACCTTTGTAAGTTAACTATTCATTTTCTTTTCTCTTTTCATTTCTTTTTTTTTTAATCATTCGTGACTTTTGCTTTCGTTTTCGTCGTTGCCATCCAGTCGTTGTACGTGCCGTATATCTCTTACGACAAACAAAAAAAAAAAAGAAAAAAAAAACAAAACGAGAAACGATGAATTTTATCGTTTTAAATCTGGGTTCGTAGTACCTTGTAGCGTGATAAAGATGTATGTATTCTATATATTAAATAGGGACACACTCGCCCGATGTATTGCAAAAGGGAACGCAGAAACGAATCGAAAAAAGAAATATTTAAAAAATCATAATTGTAAGATGAATTTTAATTTTTTTGTTTTAATGAAATTCAGAGAGGCGATCGCGTATTTTTAATGCACCCTTAACGCGTCGACCGTCACAGTAGAATAAGTCAATGTTTGGTCAGACTTACTATAATATAGATTAGTAACACGTTGATTTTTAGTTTGTATCATAATATTGTTGGTATATCGCTTCAGTTTGAATAGTTTTAATCATAAATACGATTTTAGCAATATTAAAAATCATGCTACTATTTTAATTAAAATCCTAACGACGGTCAACGTGTTAACACTTTCCCTTCGTTTCTACTAAAACAAAAACCAGCCACCATAATTCTATCTTCTCGATTCTCGTGCAAAACGTGTAAACGCCTCGCGTCTTGAAAAATAATTGAACCAACGATCGATTCGCGTTTTCACACGAGAAAAATTCCGTTGTTTCAAGGATATATCGGGCCGGTATGTTTCCACGAAAATGTGATATTAAAATTAACACGAGAGGGAAGCATACGATGAAGCGTAGAGAAGCGGAGGATTAAGTTGAGAGGGAATCGACGAGGATATTTAAAAATAAAACAAAACGAAAAAAAAAAAGAGAAGGAAAAAGTGAGAGGGGAAGAAGCAAGTTTTTCGAGGGTTGGGGGTAGTTTGGAGAGGGTGTAACCGAAAAAGATCGATGCACCAACGCGTGAAAGAGGGTCAGACACGTGTGTGTATGTGTTTTTTTTTTTCCTGTGTGAAAGAGACAGAGAGAATGAGAGGAAAGGAGGAAGGGATAAAAGAGGGATTTTTGAAGAAGGGAAGATATAAGAGTATTGAATGGATGGTTTTTATCGTGAATGACGGTTTGGGCACAGATCACAACAGCAGCAATATGAATTGATGCAGTATTGAGCTGACAAAACGAATGACAAAAATAAAAAAAATACTTGTTACTCCAGCCGCTAGAAATATATGTAAGATGTATAATTCAACAATGGATAATGCAAAAAGGCTGCGTTTCCGTTCTGGGCTCAAGTGTCTCGTGTTATTATTAAACCGTGCAATTTGTTGTAGAAACAATTTCGCCGAATGCGTCGACTTGTTCTGAAAATATTTCTTTCATACATATTGTTTTTCATCTGAAATCACGAGGACCTTTGAGCTCATTTCGTGTATCACGCGGCCGCCAGTCTAACGTTTAAGGAACCTTTAAGTAATAACTTGATGATCGATAACTAAAGTAAAAATAAAAAATAAAAAAAAGATAAGAGAGAGAAAGAGCTAGGGAGGAAGACGAAGAGGAAGAGGTGGATGATGATGATGATAAGGAGGAAAAAAAATACAAATATGAAATAATAATATTGAAAAAAATGGGTGTTATTTTTAGATGTCTATTAGATTATCAGAACCAGAAAAACTAAAGGATAAAAAAATGCTTAAACATATTAAAAAAAATGGAATAAAAAAAAAAATGAGAAACCTACTATTAATACTACTACTACTACTACTATTACTACTACTACTACTGCTGCTACTACTTCTACTACTATTACTACCGTAACTTGTAATAAGGATTTAAAGAACATAGAAACTTAGTTGAATGCGATTTCACAAAATGATGCAACTTTTTGAGAAGAGCGTCCCTTCTTTTTACGAATACCTGCTCAGGACGAATCACATGTACAGAGAGAGAGCGAGAGAGAGGATCTATTTTACATCCTGAATGTTTCTTTTCGACCAAAATAAAAAATAAAAAAATAAAAAATGGAACCAAAAAGCGCGACAAGAAAAAGAAAGTAAAATGAAAATAAACGAAACAATCCTTCAATAGTTGGAATCATTTTCTACCAAAAAAGAAAACTGAACGTGTCGCCCAGTCCTGTGCAGGTGCGACTAATAATCGTGGGCGTGAAAGAGACGAAGACGACGAAGGGCGACGAACGTGTATCTTTTCCTTTTTTTTTTCCTTCCCTCCCAAAGAAGCAAAAAAAAAATGTCGTCGTCTCCCTTCGTCGCGCTCAGGGACACCTTTTTCCTCGAGACGTTTTGCCGCTTTCATTGTTTAGATGATTACTATTTAACGACAAACAAAGAAAAAAAAAAATACATAAATAAATAAATAAATAAAAAAGATGATCGTACGAGGGAGAAGAGTTGTAAAAGGGAAAAGGTCGACGGGTACCTTTTTTTAAAACCGTGTGCACGTCCCGTGAACGCGTGTTGTCATTGTGAGGTGGGCTTTTCTTTTTTCGAAGAGGAAAAAAACACATCGACTACCACGAAAGAAAGATAATGAATACACAACAAAAAGACACTTTCAAAAAAAAAGAAAAAAAAGAAAAAAAAAGAAAATATACATTTGTAAACGAGAGCACGAGAACGTCGTCGTCTCTTGTTGCGCTCGAGAATCGTCCATCGCGGTTGCGTCTGGTCAGTTCGAATCATCGATCATCGGTTCTCGATTCCAAGATCGTTTGCAATAATCGTTGATGAGATTATTACTAATCTTTACAACTGTAGATAAAATAAAAACGATCTCTGTTAATCAGATAATCAAGAGTAGAATCGTATTTTTAAGGGTTGTCCAAGAATCACCCCCTCGTGGCAGCGGTTTTATCTTTCACACGCAGTGTCACCAAAGCGAACGAATCGATATCCGCCGCTAACTTGAACAAAAAATTGCTCCGTTTAACACTGAACGCGAAGGCTTATCTTCAGGGTAGACTATCCGGGTCGACCTTTGGGTGTACTCTTGGACAGGACTATACTGGAAACATTTCCAAGCTGAAAGAGAAAATTACTCGAGGTTTCTCGAACTGGTTGCCCTTCGACTGGTAACCTCGACTGTCGGGAATCGATGATCGCAAAGAAATACGCGGGAAAGTAGCCAGAGACAAAGACGAAGCGAAGGCGAAAGTGCCAGGGTGGGTTACGAAGAAAGGTTTCACGGGTGCCGACGTTGCAATCGCGCAATTGCCGCGTGGCGATACTCCTTCAGACGAAAAGTGCGGTCCTTTTCTCGGTCGTTGTTGAGCCACGGACAAAAAAAAAAAAGAAAGAAAGAAAGAAAGATCTCTCTGGCTAAAGGCATGGCAAGGGGAAAGAGAATGGGGTAAGACGAGGCCACGTAACCGGCGTGGGCGATCCTCGAGGGGTTCTAAACCGACGGAAACGGTCTTGAAACGAAGGGAATAAGGGAGAGAGAGAGACAGAGGTGAAAATTGGGTGGACAGGTAGCAAAGAATTTTTCTGACGGTGTGTGGGTGTTTGTGTGTGTGTGTGTGTGAGTGTGTGCGTGAGAGAGAGAAATAACTGTTGAGAACGATATATATCGAGATAAAAACGGTCCTCGAGATGCCACGTTGAGCTCTCTTTTCGCAATGAGCATTTAATCAACGGTAGGGATTGCTTTAGCGGACTTAATCTTAAGAACCGATGAATCGCAACGAGTATATAAACGATGAGAGATAAAGATGATGAAAAATTTGAGGGAATGGTATTGGAGTTTGAAACGAATTTTAAAAAAAGGGAGGGGGGGAATTTTAAGATCGTGGATAAAAGGGTGTGAATGAAATTGTATCGCGATGTGGGGTGTGATTCGAAGATGATGACAAAAGATAACGGGAGAGTGAAGGGATGGATTGAAAAATTGAAAGATATAAAAAGGCATGTTTTGTCAATTTGTCAATATTTGTCACGATTTGGTATGCCTACGATTGTAGCCTCCGTTTTACCGGATGGATGTAATATTAACGATTCAGTACGATTCTTATAATTATTATGATTATTCTTAATTAATTGATTAATTGATTATCCATTAACACAGCTCGCGAAAGTAGGAATAAATACCGGACAGACAACATGAATCAGATGATTAAAAAAGAAAACAGATAAGAAAATGAAAAAAAAAAAAATAAATAAATGAAAGGAAAGGAAAGGCAACCACTTATATTATTGTACATATTTACTTGTAACTGCTATTCGTATTGCAGAGGTTTTGTTCTCTCAGACAAATGATTTCCTCGATTCAGCGGGAAGAAACAGACAAAAAAAAAGTGAATAAAATAAAATTTGTGTATTATTAAAACCCGTGTCCTGGTTCCTTGAGTGTTAATCAAACCTCCCTTCCGGTGAAACAAATTTTATTTTACAATATCAATTCATTTTTTTTTTCATTTTCAACGATAGGATTGCGCGTAAAATTTGTACGTGTTATCTCTTTTTCAAATTTAAAGATCCCATCGAGGAAAATTGAATTGGCCACGTTTTACGTTCCCAAGATACTTTCACGACTCTGAAGATAAGTTATCTGTCGGTGGTGAACGTCGATCCACCCCATTTTTATTCGTCACTCGAAGAGATTCGCCTCGTATCCCGCGGGAAAGATCAAACGCCAAAGATACCCACGTTCTGTCGCCATCTTGTGGATTTATAACCGTATCAGAGTATTGATTCTCTTAGTTTTGCGAGGACAAAAATTACGGTGGCGTCGCTCGTTCTTTCTGAGAAACGGGGTGGTTTTAATTTATGATGAGACGCGATCAAACTTCACGACAGCTTCTCTTGACCTTGCCAAATTAATGAAGATGATAATGCCAAGTAATCGACGATTATAAGACTGCAAGTTTAACAAATGATCCATGGAGTACTTCAAAATCCACCCTGACAGAGTAACCAGAGCACGGTTTACCTTCAATACTGATGTCCTCGTCATAAAATTCTAGAACCATTAAAATAGCAAGAGTATATGAAAGAGAATTTCAAGAGCTTTAAAATGACACATTAGTTGCTCAAATGAAACGTAAAACATCAGTTCAGTTTGAAAATGAATAAAATAAAAGATGGAGGAAGTTTCGAATCATTCCCCGGTATTTGAATACTTGCAGTGTACGTGGATCTCTTGGTGACGCAATACGATTTGAAACACACGTTACCACGCACTTCACTAATTACGAGCACCTAGTGCAATCGATCCCTCGACGCAAAATTCGGCCAACCTACGCCCTTATCCGAGCTTTAACCTCCGGGCGACCGAGTTTTGCAGAAGCGTGCATCAACGACACGCAGCGAGTTTCCGCATGGCCGATACATGGTGCTTCATCATCTCAAGCACCCTTCGACCAAGGACGAATCCACCTGGTTAAGGGTGCGAACGGGCGAAGGGCGAAGAAACGAGGTAAATTAGGTCTTGGCAAAGGTAAGACGAGCAATTCAGATGATTGGATGAAATTTATTTGAACAGAGAAATGTTGGAGATTCCATGATTTTTCAGCCAGATTTTAAAATGTAGTTGTAGTAAATTGAATTTTAGATTCGTCTAATAGAGTGTTTGATAGAAAGAAATAGGACTGTTTGAAGTTTTAAATTAGAGATTGAATTAGTGATGACCGCAACCTCATGATATGATGAAGGTCTTAAATATTAAATATCATTCATTTTGAAATGTTTAATGAAATTCAGGCAATATATATGAAATGAGTTACAACAGATTCAACGATGGACATGCCTTTGTTTTCGAGTAATCTTAAATTTGTATTTAGATACCTCAAGAATCTAGAACGAACGCCATCACATTATAAAAATGTGAAACACTTCGTACTCCAGCTTGACGGTAAACAGATTGCTTCAATACCAACGATTATATCTCATTATTCAGTATTTTGAATTCAACATTGTCGTATCTCATTGTCAATAACAAAGGCATTTTCAGTCTTTTTGTATCTGTAGTCACTCCATAGATCATATACAATAAATCATTTTAAGGTGATGCTAGCGTTGAAAACATTACCGACAGTCCGATGCGTGAAGTACTACCATTTAATATCTTATGCATTCTTCTATCTTTTTTGTTATATTTCGGTGCTTTAAAGTGAAAAAAGTAATCTTGATCATATTTCAATATGGCGTTGATAATTTTCAACGAATCTTTTCATTCTTTCAATGTTAAATTTTCAAAGCAATTCGAAGTTTCTGCCAATGCCTGGGATTGGTCATTCCATTATGGCGTCCTCCTATTTCGACCAATCAGCTTCATCGTTAAAGGGAGCGTTGCGCAGAGTCTGGCGTAGTGCATCATTCCTCTTCGAAGCTTCGTCCGTTTAGCACGTGTCTGCAACAGGTAAGATTAAATTATTTTTAAATATTTAATTAAATTGTCTTTATAGTGTTAGAAATACAAGAAACAGGAAGAAAAATTGAAGAGCAGTCTAGATTCTTGATTTTTGACATTAATTCGGCGTTTTCTTCAAAAATACATGAGTTGAAAACTTTTGCTCTTGTCGTGAATTCACAATGAGATTGGAACAGCAGAATCTGAATTATTTCCCCTTTATATCAATAATTTCTTGAACGTTATTGCATTTTTTCATATTTTCAATACATATTTCCCATAATTTATTGTTATAAATCGTTATAATTGATTTTCCTGTTCTTGACTATTCTGCCGATATAGATACGAAATAAAATAATATTTCCTTCATTTATTCTGCTTTTATATCGATAATTTCTTATGTACCATTGATATCTTATGTTATTTTCTGCTTTATTTTCTGTATTTTGGTGTTTTAAGTTGAGAAAAGTAATCTTAACTTTATTTCAATATGGCGTCGATAATCTTCAATACTTTTTAGCGGGAAATTCAAATGTCTCACTTATTCTAACCAGTGTTTAAGCTTTCGTATTTGATTATTGATGATCTCAATTCAAAATTAACTTTTATGCAATGAATAACACGTATAATAATATAATAGGCATGGAAATTTGATTAATATTAATGATTTTAAAAAAAATTATTAAAGAATTTCTTTTGAGTATGAGTAGTTTTTTTGAAATATTAATTAGTTGAGTACACATGATGTATCATTGAAGCACATGTTTGCAAAAACATGTTCTTTCATTTTACAGAATTATATTTGGATAAGAAATAAAACTGTTAAATGAATCCTTGCCAATGTAAATGCAGTGTTATTGCTTTAATAATTATAGAATGGTCGACCAACGTTAATATATCATCCAACTGAGATCATGAGCAGAGTGTTTCCATTTAACTACCATTCAACATCTGCTTACTAGTTTGGTGAGTAACAGAATAAAAAACTTTACTTCTTTTTTATAATTAAATATACTTTGATTAGAGTCTGAAATACATAACATAATTAGAATGCAAGTAGTTTTTACATAACGACTACATATGTATATTAGCATTTTTTATTATTATGATTAATAGTATCAGTATTTATGAATAAATATTGAATATTTTATTGTCCTCATTGAATGTAATTTTATTAATATAAAAAAAAAAATTATCCCAGTATAATAGTTTCTTACATAATAATTTGGTTGAAGAATAAAGATACTTATTCTGTTAGTTTTTTTACACTTCATTATTATTTCTCTGTATTTATATTTTATGGTTATTATATTTATGCATTTTGCTTAACATAATCTTTACTTAAATGTAAGGGTAAGTACAGTGTTCATACTTATGTCAGTTTTTTTACAATTACCTGTAACCTTCTAATATTTATGATAAGGCACAGATATTTTATATAAATTACACTAATAGAGGAGACCGGGGAAATTTATAAATTTAAAAAAAGTAGCATTTTAGGCAAAATAAATATAATTTCAGTAATCCTGTATTAGGCAGTCAAACAAAGTCAGAATAATCACTCATTTGTTCATATCGATTGACAGCATTTTATAAAATAACATACAGTTTTCTATTATACACTAAGCAGATAATACAAGAGTATATTAAGCTTTCCTATCCTCCTCTAAATCTATGTTATATTTAATACAAAAGTATTAATACCATAGTATTAAATATAAGTTTGATGCCAGAGAGAAACATGGTAAGACAATGTTATATTTCATTGATTAATTGTAAGGAGAAGCTTTTTCCATTTGCTATTTGTGTACGCAGAATGTTGTTAATTTTTATTTGTTCTATATCTTCCTATAAGATTTGCATAATTTTTAATCAAACCATGATTTATTTCTCTTGATCTGTGCCTTATCTCCTTTTTTTATGCATTATTATCCCTAATCAACAGACCTGTTTCTTCTACTTTCATTTTACAAGTTTTTATTGGTACTTCAGTCACTGTTACTGAAGTTGTTAACATGTTTAGATATTGATTATACTTTATATTATACCAAACGAGTCCTCCATTCACTATGTCAACTTCATCTTCTGCATTGTCCTTCACTTTATTGATTTTCTATTTGATTTTTATTGATAAATGAAATTTTCATTAATATTATTTAAATGCCTGCTTTTTTTTGAACCATGATTGTATCATCTATGTAGTACTATCAAGTCAATTTATTCTATTGTTTGTCATAGCATCTTCCTGTACAATTTAGTGCAATATCTTCTGCTTTTCTGCTGTGTGTTACATTTGATTTTTCTGTTACTAATTCTTCTATACTTGATTGTGGTTATCGATTTGCGAGCTAAAATCCCCACCCACTATTATGGGGATTGAATTCTTCTTTATCTTCGATCAGTATTTCCTACAATGTTTTCACTAGCTGGTGAGAATTCTACGCTTTTTTGATTGATTATAATTTTTGTACATATTAACATTTCGCTTATGCATACATTGTACATAAGTGTCCAAATTTATATCTGAAATAATATGTTCTTAAATATTTCGTATCAAAATCACGCCATAGGAAAGTGTTATTAAAGCAATATTCCCCTTTATTTATTACATAATTACAATAATATAAAATATAATACAAGACGGGTGTTGCTAAAAAAAGTACATTATTCGATTTTTTCGCTGATATTTATTGTATGAACGTTTCCATTACGATTAGCATTACAGCTTCGAAACTTCTACCAACGGCTGTGGTTGGTCGCGCCATGTTGGCGTCCTCTGATTTCGACCAAT